AGCTGAGCCTATTTGGAGCTTTGCTATACCCGTATCAAAAAAAAAAAAAAAAGAAAAAGAAAAAGAAAAAAAAAGTATAACAAAACCAAGAAGGAGGTCATTGTGCAGACAGGTCACCAGAGGGAGCCACCTGTAAAGGTACCTTCTACTGCAAAGCACACAAGACCCATCTGCAAACCGCATGTGTGTGCGTGTGTCTATATGTATGTGTGTGTGTCTATATGCATATACATATATATAGCAAAATTCATATTTAAAAAATAAGGAACTATTTATCGGCATGATATTTCTATTCTCACCAGGCATTTCCCATTTGAAGTTTCATTTTTGAAGTAGCAAGGTTCTTTTCAGGGACAAGACTGCAAGAACATCCTCTTGGTACTGTACTTCCCTCCCAAGCCTCTGACCCAAGGATCTCCAAACCTGACCCTGATGAGATTCCAGAAGAAACAGTCTGGGTAGTGTTGTGCAAGGCCTTGCACTTAGAACCTTTGCACTTTGAGACCTTTACCTATAGAGGAGAAGGACTTTTCAATAGCATTTTTATTTAAAAGGAAAATACCAAAGCATTGATGACAGTGGTCCCCTCCAGGGCACAGTAAGGCAAGTTTAGGTTTGGCTTCCTTCCACTTTATTTCCAACGCCTTCATTTTTGGCTGGCGGCTTTCTGTTTCTGTACTCCAAGTTTAAAAACATGATGAACTCTAGGAAGAGCTGTAATGTAGCAGAGACAGATAGATGCCAGGCAAGAACAGTCCAGGTTCATCACTGTCATTCCTCTGGACTTGTACTATGTGCTTTGGCAAATGACAGCAAGTACTTACTGGATCACCAGTGTCTGCTAGGGCATGGGCGTGTCACCCACCAACGCATGCTTCTAGCCCAGGTCTTCTTGCCCACTGGGCAAATCCAACCCAGAAGGCAGAACTATAGAAACAGATCATTTTTGGGAAAGTGGGCTTCACTGCTGCCATTGTTCTCTTCTGGCTGTTGCCTCTTCTGGGCCTGTGGGGACTGAGCATGGGGTCAGTCAGCAGGCCTTGGGTCCACCTGGACAGATAAGACTAGGAAAGCCAGGTCTGGGGATCCTGAGACATTTTCTCTCCGAAGCCTGTCCCAGAAGTGTGGGCACCCATTGTGCCAAGCCTGCTTTCCTAGAAAGAGTGATAACCTGAGAGAAGTCAGAGGAAAGAGGTCTAATATCTGCTGCCCTCCCAGAGAAGCTCAGGCTAATGAATCCCTTCCTAGTGGAAAGCTGACCCTCCCTATACTCCTAGGTCCTGAATATGGAAACCTACTGTAACAGAGGTGAAATGGAGAGCATCTTGCTCTTGAGGTTTCTTTACCTTCTGAACTTATGGATGTCACACTTTCCAGGAAAATGTCTAGAATCTCACTCCACTCCCACATACACCTGTCACTTGAGCTCAAGGTTTGTCTGCCAAGAGACAGATGTGAATTGAGACATGGACTGGAGCTGTTTTTGCCCCACTCCCTCCCACACTACCCGACTAAAAGCTTGTCTCAGCTTTCTGACATCCACAAAAAGTCAGGTGGAAACCTTGCTATGTTCCCACTGGTCACACCAATGCCATGTCACCCCTGAGCAGGAGTAGTCACATCTCGGGCAAAAGAATTTTGATTACAAGAAAATTCCACTTTAAAATGCCAGCTACAAATTACATAAAGCCATCCCTTTTTTCAAAAGGGCATATTGAGAATGTTTCCCATTTGTAAATTGTTCCCTGATGTCCTTGTTTAAGCCACCACAGTAAAAGGGCAACTTGGTTTGCTGAGGGTCTTTGTGTTCTTCAATAAATAATGAAAATGTGGAGTATTGTGATTGAAGTGGGTCAGCTGTGTCCAGCTATGCTCATGGACTGCTTGTCATCCTCTGTTGTAGACATACACATAGAGCAAATGGTCACTATGTATTAAAAAGCCAACCCTCAGTGATGCTGTGTAAAGTTGCCTGATGTCAGTGTCAATTGTGTGATATCCAGGCTGCCTTTGTGCTGAGCTGTGGGGTTCAGAAAAGGCCCTGGGAACCCACATCATCTGTTCTGGTTCTTGTACAGTCTTCAGGCCAAGAGACCTGTCTCATCAGAAGCTTTTCTTTATAAAGCATTATACTATATGGAATGGCTTGGTCAACTGTGTTCAGTTCATAAATATCTTTTACATTTTTACCTGCCTGTTATAAAGATGAACAAAATATCTTAATGAGGAAGACCACAGATGCATAATAAATTAAAATCTGTAGTTGAATTTCCTAATGTAAAGAATAGATCAAAATTTTTGTGTATAAAAAAATGAATGGGTCTGAGTTACATGTGTAATTTATTATTTGGTAACTTCCCATATAGAGCCAAACAAAGGTGTCTGCATGCCACTGAGCCAGGGAAGGAGAAGCTACAGGCATGGCCTCCCCTGTGCCTGCTGCCCTGATGAATTCTATGTCAAGAAAGAGCACTGACCCTGTGGGCAAGAGGTACTCCACCTGTGCTGCTTCCCAGTGGCTGGTTTGACCAGGTAAAACCATTGTCCTTGCATGGGTCAGTGGGAGAGTTGTGACAATTGTGTCTTCAGAACTATCCCATGCTCTGAAGAGGCCCTGAGAAGGGAGAGTGGAGCACACAGAGCCCTCTTTAGGGCCTCACCTTCCACCACTGCTATTCCAAGGAAAGGGTTCTGCCTTCTGAGAGCTGAGAAAACACATTTTGTAGGTCAGATGACCTCAAAGCATCAAGATGGGTATAGAGCTGAGGTGTAGCTCTATGATAGAGCACAACAGGAAACAAGTAAAAATGTGGGCCCAGGGATCATCATTGGAGGCTGAGCCTGGGACAGGAAGCTCAAAGGCCTGTCAGGGAAGATAAAAGTAGAGAAAGAAATAAAGAAAGGAAGGAAGGAAGGAAGGAAGGAAGGAAGGAAGGAAGGAAGGAAGGAAGGAAGGAAGGAGGAGAGAGAAAGAAAGAAAAGGAAGAAAAGGAAGAAAGAAAGAAAAGGAAGGAGGAAAGAAAGAAACCAAGAGTAAAACATCTGTCCTGAAAGCACAATTAGCTCGGTGTAGGTGAGGGGTAGGGGCAGGGCAATCAATGAACAGATTAGGCAAGGAACTTGAAAACAGCAGACTGCAGAGGAACAGGCTGAATTTGAGCCCCTCACTCTATGCTCAGAGTCCATGCCCTAGGCCCTGGGCCTGCCACAGGTCTCCTCCAGGAGTCCCAGCCACACTGGATAGGTAAAGTGGAAAAGGGGCATTCTTGTAACAGTGGGACTCAGAGGTAGATCCATTTGTACAGTTTATAGCAACCAGTCATTCAGGTTAAAGGCTAAGACAGAAAAGATAAGAAAGCACAAGATGTGGAACTGGTGACAGAGCAAGTATCCTTCAAACAGCCTGTGAGGAGCTGAGGACTACATGTAAAGGACAGAGGTACAGAACAGCTGAAAAAGGCGGCTGCACACTCCTCGATCCCATTACCTGGCTTGCTTGGAAGGGTGGCCTGTACCTCCCAAAGCAGGTCAACAGTGTCTCAGGATTGGTAGCAAGAGGACCTAGGGGGCTTCTGTTAGGTTCACCACTGTGAGCACTCCCAGAGGGAATGTTAGAGGCCTAGCCCTCTTCTACATGCCTTTTTAAGAGTCTCTCCACACCAGATATAGTGTCAAGAGGCCACTTTTGTATTCAGAAGAACCCAGAGGTCACCTGACCAGCTGTGTAATGAACAAGACACTTAGGCAACTCACTAAGAGGAGCTCAGAGTCACAAAGCATACGGTCCCACATTCCTGTCAGGTCATTTTGAAGACCTGAACTTCCTCCCATAAAGGTGTTCAGTGAAGAGATAAATGAAGGTGCTGCCTGTGTGTTCCTGAAGCCAGGACCCAGGCACACACTGGACCTACTTTCTCCTTTGTGCCTTTCACTGTCAACTCTGGGCCCTTCCTCCCAGAAGTAAGTTTTGTCAAGTTGTTCTGTGGCTATGTTCCTGAGCTGACACAGGAATTGGTACACAGCAGCTGCTCAGTAAATGTTTCATGACTGCTTGTCTCAAATGTTTACATGATAAACCCATAATGAGTTTATCATTAGCACCCACAGAAGAACTTTAAGATAAGGAAGCCAGGCCACTGGGTAAGACTGGCTCACCAGGAAGGCCATGATATTTTCGGCTTCCTCACCTTGGGGATAGATAACACATGCAGTTTGTAAAGTCAAGCAATCCTTGCCAAAGTATATTTACTATGTGACCATTCTCTCTGCCCATGTGTTGGGACATGCTTCCTTGAAGTTCCATGAGCAGCTGCTGGTATTACTATAATATCTGTCCTTTCCAGTGCTAACAACTTACCACATGAGAGGAAGGGGCTTCCATATGTTGAATGTAGATCAAGACCAGCAAGAGGCCCAGGGAACACACAGCAGGCTGCCGTTGCCCACAGAGCCAGACTTTCTGAAAGAATCAGAAGGGTACTATAGTGGAGAATGCCCCTGGACTCTCACTCTACACTATCATGACACAAAAACCCCAAGGGCAGTGCAATGTGTAGAGCAAAGATGGGAACTTCTGCTGATTCACATCATTTTTATTACACAAAATAAAATTTCATCTATGTTGCACACTCATATTTTCTATAAATCTGGCTTTTAAAAATCCCTAGGGACACAGTCCCATCTGTTCTTTTGACATGCTTGTCAATGACATCATACTTCAATTGCAGTTGAGTCTTCTCAATAGGCTAAAGCAGAGACTGCTGCCTCAAGGCAGCCACCTTCCTGTAAGCTCCAGTTTACCTAGCTGGAGGCAACTCCCGACATCATCTAGACCAGGGCTGCTGGGGACAGCATGTGGCAGCATGTCCATCTCCCACAGCACACACAATCCCCTCAGCTGGTTCTCTGGGGTCTGGCTGTCACAGTGGTGTGGTAGCACCATCCTCAGGCAGCCAACCATCCTGGGCTTCTTTGGATAGGCCTGGCCCTGGACCAGGACTCTAGGGAATTTCCATGTCCACAATATAAATCTGAATGAGATCAGACACAATATTATCAATGGTTGACTTGGTAAGGTCATCACTAAACACCTAGAACAAAAAAGAAAATAGGTTCTCATTAGAGCCCTCTCCCCTCTTAATTAGGGTTTCTACTGCTGTAACAAAAACACCATGAACAAAAAGCAAGTTGGAGAGGAATGGGATTTATTCAGTGGCTTACACTTACAGATCACAATCCATCATTGGAAGAAATCAGGATAGGAACTCAAACAAGGCAAGATCCTAGAGACAGAAACTGATGCAGAGGCATAGAGAGATACTGCTTACTAGATTGTTGCCCATGGCTTGCTCAGCCTGCTTTCTTATAGAACCCAGGACCACCACCCACATGAACTGAGCCCTCCCCCCTTGATCACTAATGAGAAAATACCCTACAGCTAGATCTCATGGAGGTATTTCATCAACTGAGGCTCCTTACTCTCTGATGACTCTAATTGTGTCAAATTGACAGAAAATCAGCCAATACACCCTCCTACTTATATCAATGAGGTACTGACTACTAGAATACAATACCATTGCCCAGGTGGGCCAAGGCACACTGGAGATTGGCTGGCTGAGTTATGGTGACTTTCCTGACAAGCCTATTCAATTCCAGTCTGCTGGACTGAGCAAAGGTTGTATAGAGTAAAGAACAAACATTACAGATGGAAGAAGCCCTGGTAATCAACTGATGGGGACAGGTCAGGGGAATTGTCCAAGGTCACATGGGGAGCTGGTGAAAAGCTGTGCCTACAGCTCAGGGACTTGCCTCCTGCCTGAGATCCCTCAAGTCCAGTCTCTAAGGATATTGACTAAAGAAAGCAGAGTCTCATTTCTAAAACAAAGCAAGCTAGGCAATCTAGGACCTCCACTTTGGCTCAGTCTGTGGAAAACGTAGAGCAGACAAGTGTGTTAGATCACTCATAAAATGGAAACATATCCTCAGGAACCCACAGAAAGAAAGGTATGCAGTACAGAAACTCACAAGCCTAGAGCCACACACTTTCTCTCAAGAGCCCCCTGTGAAATCCTACCTGATATGAGTATACTAATTTGCCAGGGGCCTAAGGCCCTATTAAGTTGTCTAGGCTGAGTTTAGGTTCAAGTGAGGACCCTAGAACACATGGCATGGTACCAGCTGGACCTCAGGGTGGCTGAGGTCTGAAAAAGACAGGTCAGGCACCCAGGCATGATTCCAAGGAAGTAAGGGTACTGTTGTCCTCTTACCAGATAGCCCCTGACTGACTAAGCATAGAATGATGTGTTATGTCTACACAGGTCCCTTCTTCATCCCACATGATCTGAGAGGAACTCCTGGCTTGACACCGTGACTTTATTAAATACATTAGCTCAAGGACCCTGAGCACTGACTATAAGCCTAGCTTGCACAGGATTAGACAGACAAAAAACCTGAAGGTCAGCTCTCCCATAGTGGTCACACAGACCATAGAGGACTGTATAAGAGACCAGGGCCTGGGCTGGAGTGGTTCAGAGCACTGACTGCTCTTCCAGAGGTCCTGAGTTCAATTCTCAGCAACCACACAGTGGCTTACAACCATCTGTAATTGGATCTGATGCCCTCTTCTGGTGGGGGGCGGGGTACCGAGACCAGGGCCTTTTTGCTTGCCACTCACACAGTTTCTCCAACACAGACTTCAGCATGCTGCCTACCAATGGCACTCTTGACATCCATCCATCCAATCCATCCAGTCCATCCACATATCCAACTCATTTACTTATTCTCAGTTATGCATGAGTCCATCATCTATCTTCCTATAGTGTCTACCAATCTAGCTGACCTATCACTTCCTTATTGTTCACCAACCCATCTTTGCCAATAAGTGCTCCAAGGATTCTGATGTGGAACTAGGTCTATTCATCTTGATCAATGCCAAGATCATACTTAATTCAGTATGTCTCATGTTCTTGGTTTATATGTTGCTCTTGACCAGAGTAAATCCTTCTTCAGGACATTTGGCAATGCCTATATGGAATCCAGGGCTGTTGTTCAACATTTGACAGTTTCTCCCACAAAATAATAACCTGGCCTCAAATGGCAACCATATCAAGGGGAAAGCCCCAGCTGCAAACTGCTAGCACAGACTATTTTCTATCGTCAATAGTTCCAAGTGCCCCATAACTTTTTTCATGGTTAACTAACTACTAGAGAGAAATGAGTGAGGTGGAGGAACTTCAGAAAGGAAAAGTCCAGTCCAGTGTCCTGAGCAGTCTTACCTCACCATAGTTTCTTAGTCTCAGACTCAGCAGGCACCAGACTCCAAAAACCTGCAGAGTCAGGTATAACACTGACCAGCTAGGTGCTGAGCCTGAAACTGAAGGCACAGCCCCCAATAATCAACTAGGAGGACCCAGGCTGTGACAGAGATGGGTGTTCACTGCCAGCTGTAATGATTCAACCAGTTCTTGAGGAAAATCAGGTAGTGGAGCAGGAACTGCAAAGACAGCCACTTCAGTCTCTAGGTGTAGGCCCCACCACCTGTCTTCCCACTGTTTCACTGCGTTCTCTATAGCAGCCAGCCTCTCTTCAGGTTATCAGCCATCTTACCTCCCTGCTCAAGTCCTCCAATAGCACCTCCAAAGTCATTTGTTGCCTGCCAAGTCCTGCTTTCTTCTCTAGTTGCATCTCCTAGTGCCTTGACACCACTCTCCTGCTTAGTTTGAATATGACAGACATGCTCCACACCAGCGGTCACACCTAATCCAAGTTCCCACATGCTTGCCTGATTTTTTTTTTTCAGAGAAACATGCTCATACTTTTTGGTTTTTGAGACAGGGCCTTCTCTATGTAACCCTATCTGATTGTTCTAGAACTCACTGTGAACACTAGGCTGGCCTCAAACTCAGAGATCTATCTGCCTGCCTCTGCCTCCCAGGTGCTGGGATTAAAACTGTGTGCCACCACCACCCAGCATGTCCTGGATAGACTTAAACTCACTTTATGACCCAGTTAGTGCTTAAATTTATGATCCTTCTGCTCTTCCTCCTGAGTGTTGAGATTACAGACATACACCACCTTGCCTGGCTTGAAAGGAAATCATTTGAAACCTGGTGCTTCCAAAAGCAGCACATTTATCTGCAGAGTAGAAGGCATCACTCCCTGGTGTGATGTTCCTACCATGAAGGCACTGCTTTCAGAAGGACCAGGGACTGGTGACTGTTTTTCTAGGTCATAACAAGAATCCAAAGTAATGGCAACTTCAGATATATCTCCATGGTCTCTCAGAATAGGTCAGTTCCTACTCTTAGAGAACAGCCTGAGTTTCATGCAGTACAGAAAGAATAGCAGGAGTCTCCCATATGCATACATTCCTGGCATGCCAAGAAGGGCAACTATTGCTACTTAAACCTGCAAGAAAGAGAAGTGGGCACAGGTTCCTAGCAACACCTACCACCAGCTCTAATTTGTGCCCAGATCATACAGCTTCCAAGGCCAGAATGCTGTTCCTTTTCCAAGTCTTGTCATCTGAACAACCTCCACTTGCATGCAATTCCCATCTTCTGGGATGCTGATCAGTCCACTCACTAAAAACTGCTGTGCTCAAGACTAGAGGTTTCTGTGGCTATGAGTTATTTAGGTGAAATTATAAAGGGGAAACAAAAGAACATTTGCATGAATGGAATAATTTCACACCTGTGTTCTGGTAGTGGACACATGAATGTAGATACAGGATAAGATCATACAGAAAATACACACAAAACCAGTGGACTGTGATGTTATCAATATCTTGGCGATCACACACACACACACAAATATATGGTCTAACACAGTGTTTTCACTGGAGGTGGCTGTACAAATGGCACATGAAGTCATTCTTGAATATTGCTTACAGCTATATGTCAATCTATAATTACCTCCATACAAGGTCTAATTAATAAGACAAGAAGTCCTAGCTCTGCCCCAAACCCAAGCTTCCTCCTCTGCAGGCCATCCCTCCACTGCCCCTGTACATGAACCTGAGGTATCAAAGTGGCACATCCAAACACTACCCTGAGTCATCCTTCTCTTGTGCTGTTTTTGCAAATGGTTTTTTTGCTGAGGCTTCTGTGACCATGGAAGTTAAAAGGATACAATTTAACAACTGGTTCTTCCCACAGATTCTAAAAACAGTAGAGCCAAATACAATAGCAACTCATGAGGACTGGGACTTCATCTAGTCACAAAGCTAGCCCTGCTTCTCTGAGGCTCAGTAAGCACCAATCTAGACAGACTGCAGGCACTGCAATGGCTTCAGAGAGCAGAAGGAGCCCCAGATGTAGACACAGAGAAGTGCACAGAAAAGCAGAATCTGATGTAAGAACTGGTGAGAACAGCCTAGATAGGGTAGGGGAAGTGAGCTGACGCATCATGCGATGTGGAATCAGGAGCCCCAGTTCCCAGCTTCTGATGTCCCTGCTCTCTCTCCTCATATGTTGTGTTCTTGTGCACTGGAGGGGATTTTCTCCCAGACTATGGAACAAAAACACCTGGTTAGAGCTATTAGAAACAGTTCCCAGTCTCCAGCACACATATACATTGTGTGGATGCTGGAAGGAGCCCTAGAAGTGCAGAAGTCTCAGCATGAGGAATTTAGACTGCACGATGTTGTCTCAGAGCTCCCAGAAGTGAGAGTCCAGCTCCAAAGGGTTGCTGCTCAGGTTAAAGTACCTGAAAAACACTGCTATGCTTACAACAACCAGTGATAGCCTCCTATCCCTAACCAATGAAGTGGTTCCAACAGGCAAGCCTTTAAGGAAAGGGATTTCCACCTGCATATTAAGGAATCTTGTAGTGTTGTTGGTTGACTACCAGAATGAGATAGTAAGGCCCTATAGCTGAAGATACCACATGATTTGGTCGCAGAACATAGAGAAAGTAAGCTGGAATTCATGAGGAAGCTTCCTCCCCACTGGCTAGTCTTTGTAGTAACAGAAAGTACTGGGCAGACTGCTGGGGAAGAATTGTCATCAAAAGTCTTAGCCAGTTATGGACCCTGCATGCTACACTACCAACCAGCCACAGTCCACTGGTGCACTATTAAGTCTGTTTATGTAGTAACCAACTGCTTTCTGGTTGGATTTGATACTTACTCCACAGAAAGAATTTATTTCTGGTAAATGAAGTCAAAAGCCCATGGCTAGGGAAGTCACAGGCCCTGGTAGAGAGGCTACTAGTGCTGTTTTGCTAAATTGATGTGATGTATCCATCAGAGTTGCCTTCTAAATAATTATATTTATGCCTATAAATTAGTGCTGCTCTCAGCTTTAGTCAGAGAAGCTTCTTTATTCAGTGGGCAGTGGTAACTGTAGAGACCCATAATTGGTCATAGTGATGAACTTAAATGTCTGCTGAAAACTCAGCTATAAATGGAACATCTACATTGTCCCCTCCAAAGCTCATGAAACATGATGGAAGAGGAGGTAGAAAGAATTAAAGAGATGGAAGAAGGGGCAGAGTTTTGTTAAACACTGCCTTTGAGGCATGCCATGGCTGTTGTCTTCTTGAACTCATAGTTGCTGAGGTTCCCTGTACCTCAACATCTATTTTATCATAGAGTGAGACTCACAAGGATTTATAAGCATAGGGTTGGTAGATGAGGGTGAAACATTTTCTATACCACCACTTTCAGTGGTATACCCATGGTCCTACAAGAAAAAGACATGAAAGTATAAAGTGGACTAGCTGGGAAGAAGGGCATCAACAGGAGTGGTTAGGGGACAAGACAAGGTAATAAGAACATGATCAAAATACATTATATACACATAAAAATAGCATAATGAGGGCTGGAGAGATGTCTCAGCAGTTAAGAGCACTGACTGCTCTTCCAGAGGTCCTGAGTTCAATTCCCAGTAACCACATGGTAGCTCACAACCACCTGTAATGGGATCTCATGCCCTCTTCTGAAGAGAGCAACAGTGTACTCACATACATACAATAAATAAATCTTTAAAAAATATATGCTTAAAAATAGTATAATGAAACCCATTATTTATTATTGATAGATGCTAATAAAAGTGTATCTTGAGATAGGTTAACATATAGTCATTTGTGTTATTATAAACTAATTCTTGCTAGGTGTGATAGCACACACATTTAACCCCAGCACTAGTGAGACAGAGGCAGAGGCAGAGGCAGGCATATCTCTGTCAATTGGAGGCCAGTCTGATGTACAAATCAAGTTCCATGACAGCCAAGGCTACATAATGAGGCCCATTCTCAAAAAACAAAATCTTCATCTACGTGTGTAATGTACATTTTAGAAACTGTGACACAAAAAAAGAAGTTGGCTTTTACTTTTACCCCAAAAGGCTGTCTATCGTCAGTGAAATGCTAAACAAAAAGACTGACCCTTTACAATAGCTTCAGAGGAACAAGAGGCACCAGCATCCAAGTCAGTTATGTTCCTCATCACAGTCAGTGGAACAGAAATGGGGCTCTTTTGCACCTGAGGTATAATAGCCAAGATTCTGATTCTGGGCCCAAAGAACATATAGAAACAGGGCCAGGAAATATATATATTTTGAAAGGTGAATGTTTGTGTTTTAACTTCCTTTTTCTCATATTGTCTTTCCTTTCTTCCAGAACTTTCTGCCCTTATTTACACTCTTCATGTCTACAATCTCCTGACAAACAACTTCAAGAGGGATACAGTATTCACACTAAGTGCTCAGAACTCTGTGCCATGACTCATCCTTCTGAAATGCTCACCAATTGTATCTCTCTCCCCATGTTCACATCTAATTAGGGCTCCACACAATTTCCCTTCAGCTGTTCCTCCCTGCTGGGGACCAGGCAATTACAGGTGCATCCCAGGCACCCTTCTTCAGCTCTGCTCCTGTTTTAATTTTCACCTCACTCTGTCTATTGTGAACTCACCAGGCTTTAGGGAGTAAGGAATGTTTTGTTGTTGATGATATTTTTATTTGTTGAAAAAGCAGTAGAACAAAGCAGTTTGCTTCCTAATGATTACAGTTTGGAGAAGGCTCATGACATACAGCTAGTCAGTAATTTTCCATAAATGTCATGGCTGTCTCCAGGGCCCCAAAGTGTTGGTGCAGCCTAAAGGCTGGGCCCAACATCTTTCCTTGGCAGGAACACAACTGCATTGCCCAGCTATTCAATCCACTACCAAAAGCAAGAGGAGACTCAGTTTCTTGCATGATCTCAATATGATCTCCTCCTTCTCCTCCTTCTCCTCCTTCTCCTCCTTCTCCTCCTTCTCCTCCTTCTTCTCCTCCTCCTCCTCAATATGATCTCCTTGTCCTGTGGGTCTTGCAGATCTGCCCAAACCCACAATATAACTGGGAGAGTTTCTCTCCCATGATCTTCTGCCTCTATCCATCCTTGGTTCCTCTGTCCTATTCAAGAATCCACATGATTGTTCTCTGACTTCTCCAAGCTCTGTCGTCATGTCTTCTTCTTCTTCTTCTTCTTCTTCTTCTTCTTCTTCTTCTTCTTCTTCTTCTTCTTCTTCTCCTCCTTCTCCTCCTTCTCTTCTCCTCCTTCTCCTCCTTCTCCTCCTTCTCTTCTCCTCCTTCTCCTCCTTCTCCTCCTTCTCCTCCTTCTCCTCCTTCTCCTCCTTCTCCTCCTTCTTTATTTTATTTTATTTTATTTTATTTTATTTTATTTTATTTTATTTTATTTTATTTTATTTTATTTTATTTTATTTTATTTTATTTGGTTTGGGTTTTCCAAGACACTGTTTCTCTGTGTAACCCTGACTGTCCTGGAACTCACTCTGTAGACCAGGCTGGCCTCGAACTCAGAAATCCGCCTGTCTCTGCCTCCCAAGTGCTGGGATTAAGACGTATGCCACCACTGCCCCACAAGCTCTGTCTTCTTAAGCTTTACATCTAGCTGGGGTGGTAAGAGGAGGGAGTGGGAGTGTTTCAAAGCTTCCTTCCCACAAAGGCTCCTGATTAGGCTCCTTTATGGTTTTGTAGCTAGATTGGGACCTGGGTCAAAATTCCCCAGCTGCTTCCTTCCAAGTTTAACTGTTGGTGCCTGGAGGGCAAAGCTCATAGGAGTCTATCTGCTCTCCTTGCCAGGGTGGATAGTGGGATACCCTCCTACATGCCTTGGCTAAGATGCCAATACCTGTTGGATATATTAATATCAGGAGTACACAGGTGTTGCTCCTCTATTTTTTCAGCCAAATAAATGGAAGACATGGCGACCAGGTATGGGTCATAGGCATCCAGGTTGATCTCTCACAAGAATATGTGGTAAATTGCACAAGCAGTGGCAATGGGAATGGGAAATACTACTGACAAAGATTGTTGCTGTAGAATCCTAGTGCCTTTTTTTTGCCTTACCCAGGAAACGGGTGCAACTAGCCCTGTGGTCACCCCAGCAAAGTTCAGAACTTACTGCACTCTGAGTCCTGGATGGGACCTCCCTAACAACGTGCTGCAAAGGGCCCTCCACTCTGGCAGAGGTTACTTGCCTCTATAATGAACCACTTTACTTGGAAATGCACCCTTGCCTCAGGCGCTGGCCCCATGACCCTCCTCCACAGCATACCTGGACCTCCTAGAGCAGTTTCAGGAGGTCCTTGAGGTGGACACAGCTGCCACACCAGCCATGCCATGCCACACCATGCCACACCATGCCACATAGTCCTTCTCCCCTCCCCCTCTCCGTGAATACCGCTGCTCAGACTGCAATCTTGCTGAATCCACCGGCTCAGATGAGAAGAAGCCAATGCTGCCAAGAACCTTGCTTGTGCCTGGTTTCCTTCCACTATGGTAACTGGGCTTCTGGAGGTGCAGGCCATGACCCCTAGAAACTTAAGCCCCGATTCCAGGAAATACTTTTAATTCACAGGTACAAGAGGCCCTGTACGCCCCCCTCCCGGGATACCCAAGTGGGAGAGGGTAGGGGCTGGGGGGAGGTAGGGAGTAGTGAAGTGAGAGGGGAGCAGTGAGGGAGTAGGAAAGACAAAGTTCTACCCCTCTCCAGATCAGAAACTACAGGTATTTCTCTGTAATTGTGCAACAAGATCACAGCTGAAGACAGAGGCATGAAGGCATATCCAGACACTAGAGTCCAAGAATCCTTATGGTTCAACCAAGGTGTTGGCCTGGTCTGGTGGCCCAGAGTGTCTTAGTGGCTTAAGATAGGGAGAGCTTTGCATCACCTGGGTGAAAGAAAGTTCTGGACTCTTTTTGAGGCATCAGTGTCTGAGCCAACAGCTGCCAATAATGAGAAATGTTAGTGTTTGCAAACCCTGAATCCATATTTGCAAGACTTTCAGCATGCAGATGAGACCTAAGGAAATGCTGTACCAAAATGTGAAGAGGGGCCTTTCTGATGGAAACAGTAAGGGTGTTTATGTCTGACCTTCACTGCTTTCCAACATTTGTTGCAAATGTAGTTTTCCCTTACCTTTCAAGCCTGGCACACAGTAGGGGCTAAGTAACTGTTTACTGAAAGATTGAATAAGAAACTCGCATATTTAACATCTCATTTCCTTCTGTCTTCTAAAAACAGGAAATTGTGCAACTGGTGTTAGAAATATAGGACCTCAAAAGAACTCCTAAGCTAGTGACTAACTCCAGTCATTTTGATACATTCAAATAATTGCTCTGATTCCAGACCACCAGGAATGTGAAAAGAACTACTGCTCCCTAAGCCCTCAGGTGTGATTGGTCTGATCTCATGAGGATGCAGAAGTCCCTACAACCTGTCTAGCCTCATTCTCCTTCCTTGACATGGCTTGCCTCTACCAAACTCTTTAGTGTTCCCTCCATGCCAGCTAGGGTAGAGTGCCAACATGGCTATGACCACAAATGGAAGTGCCAAAAGCGGCAGAGCTCACATGGCCAAAGATAACCAAGGTCAATGGGTTGGGTTTCATCTCTAAAGATTCTAGTCCACCTTGTTCTACAAGCTCCTTATAGCCTGAGTGATCCTGGCTTCCTAGTACCATCACACCAGTCCTTATGTTTACCTGGCCTTCTCAACTTGCTGTATGATGAAGAGGGTGTGTGGAGCCAGAATACCCCAAAGAGGTTGCCTGAGTATTGGGGAAGGATCTGTGGTTTGTGTCTATTCTCATCAGGTCACCCCCCTCACTGCTGTCAACACCTGTTCTTCTAAGACATCTTACGGGCTTTTCTCTACCCTAAAGAGCTCCCTCCCCCAAACCATGCTGATATCTGCCCCCAGGGACCCAGAAAGCCCTTGAAGAGCTGTGGTGACAGAAGGAGCTGGCCCAGAGCTGGTTTTAGCTGAGCAACAGCTACAGGAAGGGACATGAAAGGGAGGGGCAGTGCAGAGACCAGTAGTGTCCTAGAGCTGCCATCACAAAGTCCCACAACCAGGTGTTCTAACACAACAGAAACTCTCTATTTTCTGCTTTTTGTTTACACTGCCTCCTCTCCTGGGTCTCCTTCTGTCCTTTCTCTCTTCTGTTTGTCATGTGGATAGCCATCATTAGATTTAAGCCCATTTCAGTAAGCCAAAACAACCTCATATCAACAACCGTATCCTCGGTACATCTGCAAAGGCCCTTTTGACAGACAGATAAGGTCAGCTTCAAAGGGTCTGGGATTTAGAACAGGGAGACATTTTGGGAGACTGTCATTTACTCATGACATCAGCCACCAAAATGAGCTTCCTGGAACTATAGGCCTGCTGAGGTCCATTTACTTCAAGAAAAAGCCAGTAGCTAGAATTTGCAGTGCCAGTCCCTGCCCAGTCACTCTGTTGACTAGCCAGCCTCAGGTCCTACCCTCTATGTTTCTCATGGCATGAGGCTCAGTCAGCTCCCCTCAAGATGGTGGTCTCTCATCTTGGCATCTTGACCTGGTGTAAGGACTCCTGCCACATATCCTTCTGTCCAGCTTGTTCTGGTATGTATTGTCATAGGTTTTTAGAATTGGGGAGAGGGGCTTGTGCCCGAGGCCTCTGTATTGTTGACATGACCTGAGCCCTGTCTTGACTGTCTGTTCCCAGGCTGTGAGCAGCTGTACTCCTTCCTTTGCCTAAGGCTGAAAATTCTCCCTCATCCTGGCTGGCCAAGGCCGTGACCTTCTTTATACAACACAGTGCCCAGGCCAGGCCAGTAGCTTTGAAAACCAGCAGTTTGAAGTTCAGACTTCCTAAACTGACTGACCTTGATTGATCAGGCTGCTGCCTCTCAGTTTCTTATCTTACTCCCACCATACATTCAAGCACATGACATCCCCAAGTGTGGGCACACACACACACACCCCACTCACATGCAACACATACACACCACTCACATGTAACACACACACACTTCAAAATGAGATGTTTCCCCCTACCCTGGCAGACAGCCTACTTAGCCTCTCAGAGCCAACCTACAGGCCTTCGGTTAAACAGGGTTGTGTGGATGCCTGCTGCTCCCCTGGGTCTTTTGTGGTGTGAAAAGTCTAGGCTCAACAAGTAATAGGTGCCAGTGAATGTGAGTCTAGGGAATGACTCAGTGAATACATTAATTTTTAAAGCCCCAGGTCATAGGGCACTCTACTGACAGGCAGCCTCAGTGCAGTGGTTAATAGATAAATAATTTACAAGTAACCATTCAGGCCTAGCAAACCTCTAAGCAAGGCTCTCCCTCTTGCAAGCCACACCTATCACAGAAGCCGCCACACACCACCTGTCACCAACATCCCCACATTTTACATCCTCCCCATATCATTCTGGTTCCATAACCCCTTACTCAGTTGGTAAACTCTCTGAGGGCATAGGCCTGGGCTTCCTGTCCACTCCCAGCAGAACAAAGATGCTCAGCAAAGGTGGGCTAGGCATCCCCTGGTGGAAGCACTTTCTTCCCTAACATTAGCTCACCACACACCCTTCCCAGAGAGACAGCTAGTACCTGAAAGAGTGACTGGCTTACTTCAAGGAGTCAGACTCTGCGGCAGAAATACCAAGGCTGAGGCTGAGAGCGGGAAAGAGGCATTTGGGTGCCCAAGGACAGTTGTACCCAGACACCAAGCCTATTTCCCAATTTCCACACTCTCCCTGCCTCACACCTCCCAGTAGTCTTTCACCATGGCTGTCCAGGTCTAAAATATCACCCTTTCTCACACAGTGTTGCTGGCACTGTGTCATTCCTTCTTCTCACCACCTGGTATCCCTTCTGTACAGATTCCTCCTTCCTACCATTAGGACCTGCAACCCATCACCATTCTTTGCTCCATCCCTCACTGAAGCTGACCCCTCTACACTAAAAAGCCACTCTTGGCATCTAGATAGCTGACTGCTGACAGCTCTCAAGCCTCAGCCTGCACATGATCCCTTCTACTCCACAACTGAGGGATCTGACAAGTAAGCCTTAGGCTAGAGCAGTGTGGTAATCACACTGGGGTGTGCTCAGCCTGGTTCCACCTCTGACTGAGAGGATTTCCCTGTTGCCTGTGTTGTTCCTTTCTTTGGCCTCTCAAGCCATATTCAAGCCAGCATGGGAGGCTGCCTTGATTCCCCTAGAAAACTCCATTTAGGGAATCATGAAACTTTCTCTATCCTCACAGAAGTGGGAACACCATGAGTCTCTCCATTTCTAAGATACTTTCAGTATCTACCCTGTTCCTTCAGAGTGACTACAAGCCATTCTATCCTGCCTATCAACACTTTTCCCTTCATGGATTCCAAGATCCTGTTCTCCTGACTCCCTTTTTATAAGGCTCCTCAAGCTGAGTCTCCCTTTGCCCAGCTCCTATCTATCAGAGAGTACATGTTTTATCCATTCGATCAATGGTCGCAAAGCCATGGCTAGGCATGAGCCCTAAGCTTACTAACCCACAAGTTAGGCACCCCAAACCCATATATCCCAATCTTCATTCCCATTTGTTCTGCCTACCTGAACACATACCTGAAGAGCTAGAAACACAGCTGCAACCATGAGTAAACAGTCTCCCCTTCAATAGATTTGTCTCCTCCTCCTCCTCCTCTACCGCCACCGCTGCTGCCTCCTCCTCCTCTTCCTCCTCAAACCCATTCAACATGAAACAACTTCATCACAGCAGGTTTAATCATCACCCTTCCCACTTCCAGATAGAAAAATACTGCTACAAATTCTAGGCACACATAAGACCACATGTGTGAACAAGTGGAACATGAGAAGTACTGAAAGCTGAGCACCAGGATGTCCAATAATCATGTGTTCTGAACTCCAAGAGTCAAGAAGAAGTTTGATTGCTGGTGGTTGAAAAGAGGGACAATGAGGGTTATGAATGCTACCGAGGACAGAAAAAGATGCCCTGCACCTAGATTTTGATGATTGATGAAGAACTCTGAATATACTTAAGACCCATTGAATTGTCAACTATACCATGTGAATTATATCTAAATAAAGCTCCTGTTTAAAAAAAAATTACACTGAGTCATTGTGCCATTGAGGGCAAAACCTGCCTAATGCACAAGTTCAGGACTGACCAACAAAGGAAATAGGATGGGAGAAAGACAGGTGACTAGACAGGTAAAGGAACCAGTAAAAGGTCTTAGAGGGCTCAAGATTCTACAAAGACAAGT